GTCGTGAAGCTGACTGAAAACGGCCAAATTCCAAGCAAAAAGACTTGATTCAATGATCGAAGTAAGTATGGTTTTTCTATAAAATTCATGGTACTCTGTAAGGGCATGTGGTGAAAAAATTCACTGTGCGCCCTAATTTACACCTACTTTCCAGTGGAATAATAGACAAGAGGCACGATAAATCGACAAGGCGTGCAAGGTCGATGCGCCCACCACGAAAAAATTTTGTGCCCCTCAGCAGAGGCTGCTTGGCGCCTTTTCCAAACAAAGGCACCGTTGTAGGGCCCAACCATGCCGACTCGAACGCCTACCGCAACTCCCTCCCCCCCCCCCCCCTAATGGTCGAACAATCCCATCGACGTCGGCACACTTGTCGCTTCATTAATGAAGTACAGTTGATATGAAGCGTTGCTTATGGATACATACGTGCAGCCGTATCTATCGACGCGGGTTGTCGGTTTGATGACGACAGAAAACTCGTCCAAAATTGCTCGTCCAGTGCCGTGAAGGACAAGGGTTCTTCGCAGGTTTCTGGCCATTTAACTTCGCTTTTTGGTCATTTCCCCCTATATAGCACCCTGCTAGTGTTTTTGAACAAGTACCAGTCTATCGCGCCTTATGCCTTTAAATAGCAGGAAGCTCTCAAACGAGATAGATAAGTTCCCCATTCGTCCGTGCCCTAAGACAGTAACCAAGCAGTCGGATAGATAGGAAGCCTTATATGACCCCCCCCCTAGTTCTCATGAAATAGCCACGACTATTGCGCCCATGTCAAATCAGAATATCAGGGCGAAGAGGTGACTTTTATTACAGCTCATCAAAACCAAAAGGTTCGACAGCGTTCAAACTTCGACACAGCGGCGCTTCGTTCGCGCGTTCGAGCGATCGATCGCGGTGGCGTACCACTGCGTACGCAGCGAACGCGCGAAAGAAGTGACGCCGTCGCGAAGTCTGAACGCTGCCTTATGCCATTTTAAACAGACAACATCGTAGAATGATAGAATTCCGACTCGATTTATCAATCTCAATCATCTGGCACCTAGTCCTGATCAGTGGACAGTGATAGCGCAGTGGCACATCCCACCTAAGTCTTTCAGAGTCGATCAGGGTTGAAAATCATTTTATCGCACTTAGGAGTCGGTTTTGGGATACAAGGCCTGTCCAGGAGACAAGGACAGACTTATCATCGGCACTCCGAAATCAGCTTGTCAGCACCTAGGGCTTTCACCTCTCTTCTATCCAATGTTTTGCTTTGGCTAGTACCAACAACGATCAATTCACACCATTCATATAACGGCAACGATTTATCAAAAAGTGAGTCAAAGAACAACTAATAATAATAAGAAACAAAAAACAGAGTACGTCACAATCCTACATTGTAACCGGTCACAATATGGGAGAACACTATGGGAATTCAATTCAATTCAGACAACACAAGAATACAGGAACGAGCAAAAAAATTGCAGTGAACATGACCAAAGCATGTGATAACAATGCCCAATGCAATAACGGCGTCTAAGACCAGGATACACAATGGCCGATAAAAAGGCAATCACATCGACAAAAAAAATCAGCAACAATTTTACTTGAAAAGGATTGCAACAACGATGTTGGGAGCTTAGATCGATCCAGAAACTCCTACGAGGAGCTTAATCTTGCCTACGAACACGCCTCTTTGTGACGGTTGGTGACTTCTTGGGAGCTGATGGTCCAGCCTCTTCTGCTTCGACGTTCACCACCTCGGGTTCGCTGTTGCTGCCCTCTTCGTCCTAAACCACTGATATAAGAGTATTCCGCAAACAACTAAGGTCATACACTGTATGGCTTAGCCAGCGTTCACACTTCGCGATGACGCGCGACGACGCGCTGTAACGCGCTGCAATTGCGACGGCTCCAATCCTATAGAAGCGAACGCAGCAGCAGATGGGAATCAATCGGTGCCCCCTAGCGGCCACTGCCGGTCGATACTCCAGTTCCCCCATACACAAGCTATGCCGATCGATTCCCGTTTGCGGCTGCGTTCGCGTCTGTAGGATTGGAGCGCTGCTGTAATGGTAGCGTGTTACAGCGCGTCGGCGCGCGTCATCACGAAATTGAACGCAGTGTTAGAGAAGGGGAGGGGCAATGTTCATCTTCACTAGTTTCTTCTGCTAGGTCCTGCTAAATCACGTGGTGAGACCTGTAGTCTCCTATCAGATTAAGATTTAAATGAAGCTTGTAATATAGCACAGCTACACAGGAATTCACAGGTCTCCACAAGAGGGATATGCAGTGATTGACAAGAACCAGCAAAATGTCCCCACCAAGTCGATCTGAGCCCTTAGAGTACATGACCTTACCTCCAAATCCCCAGCGCCTTTCTCTGCCTTCGGCGATCCATGTGGACTACGTTTTCCTTCAGAACTTTTCTCAGCCTAAACTCATCAGATTGACGTTCTGAACGTTAGAAAACAGTTTGCTACCTCTTCCATCTCAGCTTCATCCAAGTCCTTCTCGTCTTCCTCGTCGTCAACCAAGTTGGGCACCTGGAAAATCACAACGGTCATGAATCGTCGAATGATTACCTATCCAAATAGTCCGCACCTCGTCATCAAGATCGGGGGCATCTGTCTTCTTCCTTTCAGCGGCATAGTCAGCATTGGATTTGCGCCCGAAGCAGCACACACCGATGAGAATAATAGGGATCAAGATGCAGAGCACGTAGACGACCCACAACCACGGCCGCTCCTGTAAAGACAATCATGGTTTCACAAGCTCTGATGAAAATATCAGCCCACATTTTTGAAGAATCCACAAATGAGGAGGGCCGTATCTGAGCCTCTGGGGAAGGTGGTTGTACAGGAGTAGCTAATTTGTCAAATTACAGGATTCCATAGTAAGAGGTTTTTTGAGGGGAAGGAGGGGGAGAATGTAGATTTTTGCTCTCTTCTCCTCTTCTCTTCTTCTTCTCGTCCATCCCCCGACAAGTTTTTTTTCCTCGCAAATTTGAAGGCAAATGTATAATAATAAAATGAGGTGGTGAGCTGGACAAGTCGGAGACTGAAAGATTTTGCTGAAGGACCAAATTATCTCATCGACATGGCTACTGTATGTAGTCATTATCATCGAAATTGGTCGGGCAGGTCAGCGCCGCGTGGATTTGAACGCGGCGGGGCGCGCTCCTTTCTCACAACTCATAGAACTAGCGAAGCGAAAATGTTGGATGGAAACCGCGTAGCGTCGCGCCAAACCCATGCCTCGATGACACTCCCCGACTGACTTCAGTGACAGCGACGGTAAGGAATAACGCAATAATCGTAATGGTGAGATTGCGCACAACATCATCGTTATGCGAAATCCATGAAGGATGGGATCGCATATTGCCTCGTAAGAAATTTCCCGCTGTTGATCTTACTCGTTTCATAAGAACTATACGCAAACAAAAAACAACCCCTGTCCCCTCCCCCCTTAGTTGACGACGGGCTTTAGAACGCCTGTTCTGGGAGTCTGTCGCCAGGTGTGCACCTATCCCCGCGCGATGGCAGAATTTTGGTAAAATTGTAAGACAGGAGGTTATGTGAGGAATCTACCGAGCCCATTTTCAGTGTGGGGGGGAGGGGGAGGGGAGCGAGGGGACGTACTCATCCCGCCACATCATCCTTTCCAACTGTGCATCCTGATCGGGAAATTGTTTTTTTATACAGAAACTCGGAATTCATTGGAATAACCCACATTTGCAGCATCCACAATACCCTGCACTATTCCTGCTCCTTTGCCTTGACTAGAAGCTAATCGAGCATCTTCTGCACGTCTGATAGT